AATATAGTTTTTACTCGATCATTTGTGATCCATCTATATTTGTATAAAACATCTAATGTGATTATTATTTATATGAAATAGTCTTATTGTAACAGCTCCAACCAACCACTAGCAAATATTGTTCATTTTAGTCTATTACGTATAGCTATCAATCTCACGATTTTAAAACACATCGGTTAGGAAAACATTTTCACACCCTTATGAAGAATGTTTTATTTCCCTTTCTAATCGATGTGACATCTCACACTTTAGACTTTCTAAAATATAGGAGCCACTTCTCTGAGTTTGGTGTTGCACACAACAATGGCATCCATGTCGCTCAATTTTAATAATCAACCTAGCTGGCCTTCATTGACCCAACTCACAATTAGCTCCATTGATTTAAATATAAGTTCGGTTGGATTGTGCAATAAATGTAACCGTTCAATACCATCGTTAGCCGATGTTGTCTTCTTTGAGCGTTCTCTTTCAAACTTCACTCAAAGTTTCTAAAACGTGTTTGATAGGGAGAGGTTTTCACACCTTTATAAGGAGTGTTTTGTTTCTTTCTCTAACGAATGCGAAATCTCACGACAAATGTGCAAAGTTATGATTTCTTTCTCTAATGAATGCGAGATCTCACGACAAATGTGCAAAGTTATGATAACTTGAAGGGATTGAATAATGAGACGCCAAGATTGAAAGGTGAATGCCTAAGGCCAAGCATTCATCTACTTGCATATATAATATTTCAAACCCAGGTGTTGTTTATTGACTGTTCTTATAGATGCGAAGTATTTTGGCTTCAACTTGTAATTCCACACCAACCCATTTCGTCCTATGCTCTTTTTTTATTAAAAAAAATATATACTATGTAAGTTCTTTCTAGGAACACATGCAATTCACCCATTTTTAAAATAATTCAAATTGGTCCTCAAATGTATTCACTCGTACCATACCAAGTCCTTTCAACGAGTTTAAATTTGGAGTTCTTATGGTTAAGAATAAACATAACATTTTTGTTACCAATTCTATAACGGTCGAGACCCACCGTAAGTAGATATTGTCCTTTTTGAGTTTTTCCTTTCGGACTTCCACTCAGCTTTAAAATACATTTGCTAGGGGAAGGTTTCCGCACCCTTATAAAGGGTGGTTTGTTCTCCTTCCCAACGAACGTGGTTTGTTCTCCTCTCCAACGAATGTGGGACATTTAGAAGTTTTTTTTTTTTTCTCGCTGTAAATAAATAAACGGAGGTCCTCTCGTAGGAAACATACCTAATTTCCACCCAAAAAATCTCAAACGTTTAGAAGACATTTCAAGTCAACTCCACTAGTATCACTACTTGAATTGCCAAACTTTCTTTCAATAAAATATACCCTACACATCTATGAAGCTGCTGAGAAATGATGTCTGTGAGTATTTATATCCTTACAAAACAGCAAGAAATCCAATAACAACTTCCTTGTTCCACAAAGTATTAGGGTTAGTATTTTGTTTGCCCACAAAATGGCTGCCAAGAGATATTTCATGTGGCAAATAGTTTTGGTTCTAATAGCCATTCTGGCTCAACGTGTTGCACCAAGGCATTTGGGTTCTGCTCCTCTCACTGCTTGTAAGTGGATCCTACCCATTTAAAACAATTTCAGACAACACAATTTCTAGGTACCCATGAATCTAATTACTTGTTTGTTTGTTCTTACGATGTTTTCAGACAAGGATGTTGTGGGAATCAAGAACATAAGAAAGGTTGGTCGACCCATCCCAAGGAAAGATAAGCCAAGGGGTGGCAATTTCTAAGCACATTGGAGGATGTCAAATCTTCTTAACTTTTTTTTACCTATAACTAGTTTCTATTTCCAATCTCCTTTATCCACATGAAGTGATATTAATAAACATTACTACTTCCCTTTCCCTAACAACATGAGAGTTAAGCATTACTAACTTAATTTCTTTCAATATTTCCTCATATGCTAAGGGTTTTTATTTGATAAACATGCTATAATCGTATGAAACTAAATGTCAAGGGCTTAAACCCTAAACATAGAATTGATCTTTTCGATTCGTAGTGTAATACAAATTTCAAACTATTCAAGTTTCGAAATTTTATACGTATTCATAATCAAATTATCATCTCAAATGCTGATGATTCAATTTTCGACACAAGCAATAACTCCTCTTTCTAACCGTGTCAAATGAATTTGATGGTAGGGGTGTTCGTGGATTGAGTTGATGCATTTTTTAGACACATCCAAATTGTTCCGATTGTAACTTTTTTCAACTCAAACAACCCTCGTTAAATAATAATCCCAACACGATTGTTAGGTCATTTGGTCAAATTTTTGTTTCTAATAAAAATAAAATGTTCTATTTATTTATTTTGATACATTTAATTAATATTCAATGAGTCTCAACCTATGTTTCCAAAAACCTTTTAAATAGTTAAAAATTAATTTTAAGAAGGGTGGTAGAAAAAATATATGTATATATAATTATCAATAAATTCGGGTTGGTTTGATTTAACTCAACCTATCAAAATTGTATGTATAATCATCCATAAAATTTTTTCATTTGAATTCAACCCAACCTAAATTGCACGGATTGAGTTTTTTTTAATAATTAATTTTTTTGAACACGTTGGTACCCATTTTAAACTCCCACCATGGATTGATGCCTCTTTTTTTTTTATAGAAAATAACATAATTGAATCGTAGTGCGAAAGGAAGAAAGAAGTAGGAAAACCCTTTCGTTATTCACATTTCGTCAAAATTGTAGTGCTCGTGAAATCAATAAAAAGTCATAATCCCTAATAGTGTGTGGACACACTCAAACTCCTCTCGTTCAATCCAAAAAAAATAAAGAAAGAGACATCCAACTAGATATTGTCTATTTTGGCCCGTTACATATTACTGTTAGCTTCACTATTTTAAAACGGAGATTTCCACACTCTTATAAAAATGTTTCGTTCTCTTCTCCAATTAGACAATATCTACTAGTGATGACATGGGATGTTATATAGGTACACTCAACATATTAAAACTAATGTGAAAGCCATAAGCAATTGGACCAAAACCCTAACCTTTTACTTTGTCTTATGTTGAATTTCATTGGTTGTTTTGAATTGACCTTACCTACGCGGCTTGGCTCATGCATATAAATAAAGCTATGTGAAGCTCAAACAAATGCACTCCAAAACTAATCACATCTCAAACACCACGAAAACAAACACAAATGGCATCCAACATTGCTTCAATTCTATGCAAATTCTTCTTCATTCTCACACTCATCTTAGCTTCCAATGTTCATGCAAGGAGGTTCAATATTCATGGTATCATTTTACTTTTCTTATATTATTAATCATTTAAAAAGTCATTTCAAACCGACCCTTAAATTTCTTTTAAGATATATGACGATGAGTTGGGGTTGATACTCGTTTCGTTATTAACTCATTTCTTCTGTTTCTTTTCTATTTTGTTCTTCATTTTTGGATCATTGTGTATGCAGGCATGGAGTATAGAGAGCCAGCAAATAATACAATGGCTCCTCCTCCACCAAAAAACCCACGAGAAGATGCTCCCTGGGGTGGGAACTTTTGATTCCTAAGAATGTATAAATATAACTTATGCTATCAATTTATTCCATCTTTGTGTTGTAAAGAAAAATAGATAATATTAGATCTGTTTGAATTAAAAACAAAAAAATGTATATTTTAGTATATAAGTTATGTTCGAAAATATATGTTAATTAGTTTAAACATAAATATATTTTCGATTAAAATGTCAGAGAAGAGCTTCAAAGACTTATGATGAAGTCTTCCGTGGTACTTGGACTTCAATGACCTTAGAGTCCAATCAATTTGATTCGGGTTGGATTGGATTGGTCTTGTGTCAAATTATTTAGTGAGCCCGTTTTTTAGCTAATTTGAACGAAACCCAAATATCAAATGGCCTAGCTTGATCAAGCTAGCTTATTGGTAAGAGAGTTCCCACTCAAGTTGGGCTTAAAAGAAACATGTTTAAAAGCCAAATTTGATGTTGTTTTAGTCCATTTGAAATTACTTTATAACTGTTCAGATAACTTAACTATAGACATATGGGTGGTTATGCTTTCTTAATAATTGTTATGAGAGATATGCTTTTGACTTAGTCGATTGAGAGTCCCTTAATGACTTAATCATATTATTGATTCATAGATGAATTTATCGAACAAACAGTATACTCTAATAAAGAAGTTAACCAAATTAAAATTGATATGTTCAAGAATAAAACACAAATGGATGATTCTTTGAATGAAGCTTTCGTGGTTCTTTGGTCAATGAAAACATTGTTAGAATTTAGGAATTCAACCAAAGTCTCACCCGAAGAACATGATACATAAGTTACGAACAATATGGTTCCTATATTCTACGTAAACTAATATATTTTTTTTTTTTTGGGTTTTAATAATAAATGGTTTGGATTAAGTCATGATTAACTCAATATTCTAGATTAAGTGATGCACAAAACAACTTAATTACAAGAGCTGTTTGAACAATCAACTTAAAAATGGAAGTGGTCAAAGGGCCATTAATTGAAATTTTCATATGCTTTGACCCAAAAATTAAATAAATAACGACCAATCATACTCTCATTAAGGACCCATTTCCAAAGCAAAATCAATTGCAAAAATGGCTTCAAACAGAGTTTCCATTGTTTGCAAATTATTGCTTATCGTAATGCTCATCCACTCTTCCAATGTCGCTGCAAGAACTTTGCCCACAAAACCCTACTTTAGAAGTAAATTTCCCTATCAACTTTCATCTTTTATCTCATTTTTTCTATTTTTCATATCGATTTCAAAACGGTTTAGTAACGAACTTTCATTTTCATTAGCAAATGAAAAAGATGAAGAGATGTATAATACACCGGCTCCGATGCCTCCGCGCAAATTCAAGCCAAAAAATGACGATCCTTGGGGAGGTAATATTTAAGAGTATGAAGAATTCGAACCTCTTTATGGTTCTTCGTAACATATTTTGTTTTAGAAATAAGATGTTTTTATTGAGTTCATGAGATTACAATAAAGCCTTCCAATTAATAAGAGGTATGAACGAGGCCTCCGAATAAGAAAATAGCTTCACTTTAGTAGACCAAAGAGAAGTGTAACCGTTATTTGATAAACATTCTACACCACACTACACTGAAAAACAATACACGAGAAATGAAAATAGATAACCATGATAGATATTGTTTATTACGTAATCATCCCACTTAGTGTATGTAGTTACCATCGTGAGGATCATCATTGTTCAACTTCCGAACTTTATTATCTGCAATAAAATAAAGAAAATTACGTATTTTAATTTACATAATCTAAGAACTTTCAGAAATAATCTTACATGTTTCACGTGGATTCGCATTCGTAAGTCCCCTTGATGCGATCGAAGATACCAATAGAAGCAAAATGGTCAACATAATTTGGCAACCAAATGCAAGCTTTTTTAGCACCATTTTGCCTCCCTTACTCAAACTATTGCAATAATACTAATATTTGCTTTAATTTATAACCTATTTATACCCAATTTTTTGCATTCAAAATTGAAGACTTTTGATAACCCAAGTCTTTTTATTTGAAAAATCTATGCATACATAAATCGTGTTCATATTATATGGTAGGGTTTAGTTGTGAATCGACTTTTCTAAGCGTTTAAAAAATATTTTTATATAAAAAAAAGTTTTAAAACAATTAAAATGTGATATCAAACTGTTCTAAGTTACTTACGGTTACTTGATGATGAATCACATAAATCTAATAAATGGGGCCGACTACCTCTTTTATCTTCTTCATTCTACTATTAATTAAAATTTTGTCATTTTAGTAACATGAACATTAAATATGGTTCGATCACTAAAATAAAAATAACTTCAATAATTTAATGAATCATGTGACACCTAAGTAAATGAACAGTACATGAATGAACCGAGTCCACATTCGAATAAGAGTGATCTTAAATGTTATTCGTGTTTTGCTTTGAGCAATTCTATGTTGGGTTACATTCTCCTCGTTTTCTCTAGAACGTATGTGGGTGAGGACAAAATATGTTAACATGATCTATGTATTAGTCTGTGAAAATAGTCTTCCCTCGCGTCTATCTCTTTGATTTGAACAAAAAAATCTAAAACGAATGTGTGGTTGGTCTTCTTTTATTTAGTCCAAAGAAATATTAATTTTCAAACTTTGGAGTCTATTTTCCAAATACGTCCATACGAGAAAGATTTTAAAACACAAAACAACTCTACACCATACAAATCTTTTAATCTCGGACCAAACAACTTTGCACCTCAAACACAGATATTTTAGATTTAATGATTTTATTCACGCTCCAAAAGTTAATTATGAGGTGCCGAATTTGAATTTCAAATCTTAATCCAAAATTTGAAGTATGGAGAGTTCCATATTTCTAAAATTTAATTTTAAAGTGTATACTAAAAAAACATTTAACCCTTTTTAAGAATAAAAAAATTAACAACTTTATTTAATAAATTATGATAAAATTCCAAAAGCTCATCTACTTTTCAACAACTCAACTTGTTGGACCCATTGATTTTTTAAAGGAAAATTATGTATACATGAATTTGTGTGGTTGGTCTCCTTTTATTTTGTCCTAATTAACAAATACATATATATCATTCTAATTTTCAAAATAAAATAATCTTCAAATAAATTCTACAAGTTTATATTCAATTAACCCATTTGAATGTCAACTATTATGTCAACTTCAGTCAATTTCCAAAACATTAATCCGTTTTTCTCACAAAATTTTTAGGTTTTAAAATATGTTTCGATCTTTTAGAATGTTATAGATAACGATATTTAAGTATATAATTTTACGTGCCTTATTTTTCAGTTCACTGATAAATAATTTACGTTATGTAATTTAATTCTAAAGTCAAATTTTCATAAATTTTCAAATGAAGTTCTATCATTCAAATTAAAGAATTGTTCAACTAGGTGAGAAACAAATTTGGAACTTTGAATGAACAAATGAGTATAAATAAACGTGAAATTGGAGAAATATTTATAGCAAATAATTATTAAAGGTTTAGGGAGGAAAAATGGTGCATAAGAAACTTGCATTTGTTTGCCAAATTGTGTTCATTATTGTTCTTCTATTGGCATCTTCAATGGCATCAAGGGATTTAACATTCAAACCAACATGTAAGATCACTGTGATTATTCTTCTTCTTTTTTCTTATTTGATCTTGTTTTTGTTCGAATTTGATAAAGGGTCGTGTTTCTTTAGTTCAACAATCATGTAGATACTGATAAATCTGTCAATGATTGAGATTCGTCACTGATAGACCTACATATCCAATACTGATAGGTCTTTTATTGACTGAGGTTCATCCCGAATAGATTTATGAATGGCTAAAGTTTAATCGTGATAGATGTTTATCATTCATTACTGTATGCTCGTTTATTATTATGTTTAAAATGGTAATAGTGTTATTGTGACCTTTAAAAAAGCTTCGTTGACCTCGATATTATTTGCAAATATGAGCATGAACTATGACCATTGTTTGGGTGCAGTCCACAAGGTTAAAAGGGACTCGATGGATATCCCTCGTGACGGCAACTACAGAAGAGGAAACCCATGAAGGATGGCTGCCCAAAATTACATCATCTATTAATTTGTGTAAAATATCGCTGCTTTTTTTCTTTTTTTTTTTTAGTTTGAAAAGCCCATTGGGCTTCCGCTCTTAAGCCCAATGGGCTCAAATTCGCTAGCCCAATTATAATACAAGAATAATTATTCCTTCTTAAGTTAATTTTAATTTTATTGATAAAGTTCATTCCAATAAAAAAAAATATTTTTTTTATGTGAATTTATACTCGAATTTTATTGGTAAAAACTAGCTTATTAAAACTCGAGCAACTTTATTGATTCATATGAAGTGTGACAGAAGGGAGAAATAATTTAAGAATAAACAACATTAAATTTCTCCGTCCCACAAATCTTGAATAATTTTGTATGGACTTGTTGTGTCGTTTACAAAATATTCGCCCCTCATAATCTTTCTTTCTTCTAATTTTTCAATCTCCAAGCAATCTTGATCGTCCAATTTTAAATCAAGGGCTCCAAAGTTTTCTTTCATACGGTGTTCGTTAAAGCTCTTCACTATCACACTCGATCCTTTCGATAGGCCCCACTGCAGAGCAACCTTCAATGTATATAACAAAAGAAAAACGTGTTAGTCGAGACGTGATAAAATGTATTAACGTTTATCGTAAAGTTTCAATTTCATTAAAAGAATTATTAATTATCCTAACGTAGGACTTAGGAGAAAAGAGACAAGTTTTTGAAATAACCTGAGCTGGAGTTGCACTGTGTTTGAGAGAGATTGATTTGATGAGTGGACTTTCAATCACAGCCGTTGATCCCCATGCATTCCCTGGCCCACCCAATGGAGAATATGCACTCACGTGGATCTTATGCTCTCCACAAAACTCTCTTAGCTTTCTTTGCCTCCACATCGGATGCATCTCTACCTATTCATTCAACGAATTAGGGTTTTCTTAAAAGAATTGAACGAATCCCGAGATCGAACTTTCAACATTATGAAAAAAGTTAATACGTTTTTCACCGTCAGCTGTTTTTGGTTATATATCCCAACGATATTGTCTCCTTGTAGATACTCATTCAAAGGACGGTTTGTTTGAGGCTACCATCTTCTCGAAGTTCTAAGTCATTAAGGCTGGCTTGATTGATAACGTTTTTGTTTCATGTTATTTATTTATCGTATCTAATTTTCTATTTTGGGTTCTAGAAATCTCATTCTAACTTGAGATTCTCTTGGTTTTGAGTATCTGGGAGAATCAAACGTCCCTCTTGTACTATAAATTTACTATATAAATTGAAAAAAAATAATCAAGAAATATCTTTATTAAGATAGGAAGATCTTAATAATGATATTATTGTCCCCAATTTGGTCTCTAAAATTATAAATATTCTATTTTTAGTATTTGCTTTCTAATAAATTAAATGACATCAAACTTGTTTTCTTGTTGTAGCCAACCCTAGTAGATATTGTCGTTTTAGCATGTTACGTATTGATGTCAGCATCACAGTTTTAAAACGTGTCTATTAGAGACAGGTTTCCACAGCCTTATAAGGAAGGTTCTAATCCCCTCTTCAGCCGATGCAGAATCTCACAATCCACCCCCTTTGGAGTCCCAACGTTCTCTCTGACACACTTTCTGGTGTCTGGCTCTAATGCCATATGTAACAACTCAAGCCCACCGTTAGCAGATATTATCCATTTTGGCTCGTTATGCATCATCATCAGTCTTACAGTTTTAAAACTCGTCTACTAGAGAGAGATTTTCACACTCTTGTAAAGGATGCTTTGTTCTCCTCCCCAACCGATGTGAAAGCTCACAAATACACAAGACATACATTTAATCGACACTCCTAAGCTTTTATTATCCTAGCTAGCTCTTAAACTTAGGTGATTATTCATCAACATTAAACCCCACTAGATTGACTTTCAATATTCTAAACATCATGTTAATTCAAGAACAAAAATCCAAAAAACAGACCAATTAATAACATTAATAGAAGTTAAAGAGAGAGAGAGAGAAACCTGGTTAACAGCTGGAGGAATGGAAGCAATTTCTAAAAGGGATTCAAGTTTTTTGGTGGAGAAATTGCTCACACCAATGCACCTACACAGACCCAATTCCTGGCACTTTTCCATTCCTTTCCAAGTGCTTTCGAGATCCAATGCTTCCTCAAAATCACTTTCCTTGGGAACTGGATAACATGCCCAAGGCTTCAGCTTTAATGGCCAATGCACCAAATACATATCAATATACTCCAATCCCATGTTCCTATAAACACCAAAACCAAACACAAAATTCAAAATTCAACAACAATTTCGCATTTTAAAACAAAACTCGTTACTATAACGTGATTGTATAAGCTTTAATCTATCGAATTTCGACATGGGTTCGACAAAAATCGAAACTTTAGCCTTGTAATTATGTAATAGATTACCTTAGTGACTGTTTTAATGCTGAAACAGGATCATGATGGTCATTTCCCCATACTTTTGTAGTGATAAAAATGTCCTCTCTCTCCACATTTTGGCTCAAAATTTCATCACAAATGGCTTTGCCAACAGCCCCCTCAGATCCATAGATAGTTGCTGTATCAAAATGCCTATGACCCATCTGAAAAATCAAAGAAAAATAAGGTAAGAAACAATGGAAAAAGGTACAAAAATGAAGAGAAAAAGAGCTTATCAATATGTACTTTGATGGCCATATGAACAGCTGATTCTATGGCTTTTGAGTGAGCTTGATAAGAAAAAGTGCCAAAACCAAAAATGGGAAGATTTACGCCACAATTCAATCTCACTTGATTTTCCATTGTGTTCTTCTCTTTCTCTCTCTAAATTATGTAATAATAATTTGGAGAGAGATTAGGTTAGAAGATGTGTTTATATAGGAGAGAGGGCGATGAAGTCAACGTTGTTAACTGTCTCC